TTTCGTCTCAAAATCTGCACAGAATAAGATAGTTGAGAAACCTTCAGTGGGGTGGAGGAAGGAGAGACAATCCAATTCATAATAAAAATTACCGGGCTTCACATTTCTGAATAATTGGTCCAGTGACTTATGACTAGGTTCACAGGTGATATGGTGGCAGACTACCGGTACTAGGACAATGTAAGAAAAAATTTAATTAAAAATGAAAAGTTAAAAACAATATATCTACAACACCTCCTACTTTTAGTTTAGTGTTAATTTGTGTCAGTCAGTGCATAGACTTTTTTTGCATGCTTCAGTGGGTCCTGGACTCTTAGAAACCACAGCTTCTGGCATTTGATACTGTTTCTCTTCAACACCAGGGCCTGTATGCTGTGGGCAATTTTCTGCCTAGTGAAGAGAGTATGTTTCAGCACAGAGAAGCACTCAGGTCTCTGACAGAGCTCAATCAAGACCCCAGCCGAGTTTTATCTGCTAAAAATGGTAGCAGCAGTGATAGAATTGCTCACACAGAAGGCATCCTCAACCGAAACCACAGAGATGCTAGCTCCTTGACAAACCTCAAAAGGGCAAATGCTGATGTAGAAATCATCACTCCCCGGAGCCCCATGGGGAAGGAAAACATGGTCACCTTTAGCAACACCCTGCCGAGAGCCAACACCCCTTCCGTAGAAGACCCCGTGAGAAGAAACACCTCTATTCATGCTTCCATGGATTCTGCCCGGTCAAAGCAACTGCTCACCCAGTGGAAGAATAAGAACGAGAGTCGCAAGTTGTCCCTGCAAGTTATAGAGACTGAGCCAGGGCAGTCACCGCCCAGATCCATAGAAATGCGGTCAAGCTCGGAGCCGTCGAGGGTGGGCGTGAACGGAGAACACCACCCTCCTGGCAACCAGTACCTCAAGATCCAGCCTGGCGCTGTCCCCGTGTGTAACAACACCATGACCGGGGGGCCACGAGTGTCCATTCAGTCCCGCCCCGGATCCTCCCAGTTAGTGCACATCCCAGAGGAGACTCAAGAGAACATAAACACCTCCCCCAAAAGCAGCTCCGCTCGGGCTAAGTGGTTGAAAGCTGCCGAGAAAACTGTGGCTTGTAACAGAAGCAACAGTCAGCCCCGCATCATGCAAGTCATTGCCATGTCCAAGCAGCAGGGCGTCCTCCAAAGCAGCCCGAAGAATACTGAAGGCAGCACCGTTTCCTGCACCGGCTCCATCCGCTACAAAACCCTGACAGACCACGAGCCCAGCGGGATCGTAAGGGTAGAAGCTCACCCAGAAAACAACAGGCCCATTATCCAGATCCCGTCCACAGAAGGCGAAGGCAGTGGCTCCTGGAAATGGAAAGCTCCTGAAAAGGGCAGCCTTCGCCAAACTTACGAGCTCAACGATCTCAACAGAGACTCAGAAAGCTGTGAATCCCTGAAAGACAGTTTTGGTTCTGGAGATCGCAAGAGAAGCAACATAGATAACAACGAGCATCACCACCATGGAATAACCACCATCCGCGTCACGCCGGTAGAGGGCAGTGAAATTGGTTCTGAGACGCTGTCGGTTTCTTCATCTCGCGACTCCACCCTGCGGAGAAAGGGCAACATCATCTTGATCCCCGAAAGAAGCAACAGCCCCGAAAACACCAGAAACATCTTCTACAAAGGAACCTCCCCTACTCGGGCTTACAAGGATTGAGTGAAGATCATTCAATAACTCAGACGACCCCCAAATACCACATGCTGATTCTACCTGTGCTCCGTTCCAGAGATTGGGAAGCCACCCACAAACTCGATGCTCCACCGTCACCTCGGAACTCAGTGACTCTCGAGAACTTCTACTTTCAAGCGAGTAGATTTCACATCAAGGGGAGGGTAAAGCACAATGCAAGAACCTAACTAATGTGATCGTATGAAGACACTTTTTAAGACCTATCTTCAAACTCAAAAGATTTGCAGCAGACAACAGCAAAAGAAAAGTGGTTTCCTTCAATGTAAACTATTTTACTTCCTGAATGTGCCAACTTTAGGGATTTTTCTTTATTATTGGCTGTGGGAATCAGAACACGCATTTTCCTCACAGCAAAGGCCATGCAGTATTATATATTCATTTTGCAGAATCTGCACCTACATCGCAATATGGGTGGTGCTGATTAATATAGTACATATACCATGTAAACTCTCAGATTCTACTTAGCTGTGAAATAGTGGTGTGCAATTCCTTGTCAGAGAAATGCTACTGTTTTAAGAAGATGCTGGCTGCTTTGTGTTAGAATAGGACATCCCACAGCTTCTCTGTAGTGACTCTGTCACAGTCCAGAATGAAAAGGTTTGTGCATTTCCTCAGAAGTATGCATCCTCCAGTAACAAAAATGGTGTAGGATTACTTTTGGTGAAAGGGAATAAATAGTACTTTTCTGCATAGTTTTTTTTTGGCCTAGTTTTTGTTTAAGTATAATTTAATCATTAATCTTGCTAATGAGTGTTTTTTTAGTGAGCACATTTGCATAATTAAACAACTATATTGTTTTGAAAGAATTCTTTGAAATTGTGATTCTATTTTGCATTTTATGGCTTTCTTATTTATTAAGTTTAAAGAAATTGATGTTACAGATATGCTTGTCTATTTTTAAAGCAAAAATAACAGTTGACAATCCTTGAGCAAAACATATGACTATGAATTTACAAATAAGAACTCTGAACCAATTCATGATAGTGTGGGTAATGGGGCCAGCAATCTTGGTTAGTCTACCCTCTGATATTTCCAACCACCTGACTTGGGTTGCTATCTTGACAAATAATCCCAAAATTCCTTTTAGTTCTAGATTGTTTGCATTTTTTTAATATCCCAAAAACCAGTAAATTAGAATCACTGTAGTTGGATTTTACCTTTTCCCTGCAGTATATTTTTTAATTGGATACTATTGAAAAAAATGCAGCTTAATATGGAAAAAAATTATCTCAATAGTATAAATTAAGAAAATATTTCTCCAAAATATCTAAATAGGCAGTTTAAGTGTTTGACATACAAGCAACAGTTTTTGCTATCTATCCTCAATAAAACCTTCAGCCTAAATGAAAGGAAAACAGTATTATCAAAAAAAAAAAAGAAGATAAAAACAAAACATTTTGAAGTGTTTTCCAATTTAAAAGTTTAAGTACAAAGAAGTATTGGTTCTTGGTGTTTAGTATTAAACCTTTTTACACCATTTCTTAAGAATTCTGATATAACACTTGATGATTGCCAAGGACATAAAAGAAAACAACAAAGCTGATTCATTTGTTCTCAGTTAAGTTTTCAGTGAGAACAGAAATTTGTTTAGAGGCGTCCAGTACCACATTATTATCAGTATCTACAGGAAAAGGGCAGAGATTTCTAGAGTAGCCAACCTCCCAAAGCATTAGGGATTTAGCTGAAACCAGCAGAATTGAAAAGTCTGGCAATAAATATAAACTCAACTATATCCCTTCTGGCAATTTCCTTCTCAGAGAGGGAAGTGGGAGTAAAACGTTGCCTTCCCCACTTCTCACCACCACCGCCACCACATGACACTCCAGCTGGCTTGTTCCAGTTTCTAGAGGGAAAGGCGGGCTGGTTTTAGTACTCTGGAGAAAACGAAGCTGTGCCATTTCCGGTGCAGTATGATATTTCCTAATCTTTCCTATTTCTTAACAAAAGATTTTAAAGTACTTCTCTAATCATTAAAGTTCTTTTTCTTTACATAAATATTGATATATTCTTTTTCTACTCGAAGTGCCAAAGGCTACAGTTTTTAATGACTTAATGAATTGTATCACAATGCTAAGGAATTATAAAGATAGTCGCTAGAATTCAGACCTCTGCATGTATATTTGATAACACATCTTTTGTAAAAAAAAAATTACAAAAAAAAAATTTGTTTACATTCCACTGGTACCTTAATTTAAAATAAATGAGACTAACAGGTGGTATCTCTTCTTAGTGTTCTATTTATCTTATTTGCTACTGAGAGTACTTCATCCTTTGTTAGGCTGTGCTTTATGGATAAAACCAAGTATTGAATAAAGAGAGTTAATTATCTTTTTAAAGTAAATAAAATTACAAATATATAATATATATATAAAAGTATCGTGTTTAATAAAATGTTATGCAATGTTTTCCAAACTGATAAAGTTTGTAAAGTGCTATAATGTATTTTGTTAAGTACAGATCAAAGCTATTGTGTGAGTATATTGTGTTAACATCATAGAAATAAAGATTCAATTTCTTCATCAAAAGTGGAACGTTTTGGTGCTTTACTACAGAGCATGAATGGACAGGTAACTTGACTTATAAAAAAACAAATGGGGAAATAAAAATGAATCAGGACTGATGAAACACCAAATTGATTTCAAATGTGTTGCACTACAGAAAAGTTTGTCAAACTATGACATAATTTTTTCTTTATCATTTTTATAATTTTTATTTATGAGATATACACATGAGGAGGAAAATATGGTTTGTACAAAAATGAATAATGATATAAAATATAAAAATAAAAAATAATTTATTAAAGCTACTTTAGATTTAGTTAGATTTTTTTCATATGTCAATGTTATGGAGTAAAAAACAAATATGAAAGAGTCATGGTCAGTTATTCTAAATTAATTTTTGACTGTGTGATTGATGGCAGATTTTCCCAAACATTTCTCTGTGCCAGCTTTACTTATAAAAAAAAAATTATTTTTAACTTCATGTTTGTTGTCACAGCCATTAACCCGGCTATCTGGATTTTACTGCTGCCACTTTGTGCATTTTGTTAGATCTTTACACAACTTTTAAAACTATAACCAGCACTTGTGCTTTGCTCAAATGATGTATAGGGGACTCATTGAAACATGAAGTGACAGCTGTCCAGAAATGTCACCAAGCTCATGCATTTGTCTAACAGCCACTGAATTCATGCAATTATATCATATTAACTGCTAGGCCACTTATTACCCATTGCTAAATATGACTAATGTTGAAAACATGCAGCATGTTTTCTGCAAAATGTTTTCTACAAAATATTTAACATATGAAAAAATAATCTTGTAATGGTTGAAAACAATATGAAGACTCTAAGTCTTCATTTTTTTCATCTCTAAAATGGAACAATCAGCTATATTGTCCCTTCTAGAGTATCTTTTGTTGTCCTTTTCTGCCTTTATGAAATGGCATTATGTGATTTATCCAGACAACCAAAACAAATGACCAGAAGATAGGAAACAACTAGCCGGTTTAAGATCACTAATGAGCAGTGTCATGTTTGAGCACAGATTAATGTAAGTAAGCCAAATAAGATTACGAAGAACCTACATCAACCATTTTACTACCTAATATATCAAAATAAGTGATTTGTTTACATGTATATCTGATCCTATTACTTCATGAGCTATTAGGTGAGTAGATTTTGGATAGTATACTATGAAGAAACTATGATAAGAAGTGGTATTGTTTCTTTTTTTAAAAAAAATATTTATTTATTTATGCACACAAGAATTGGGGTACAGGATAGAGGTGCAGGGGGTGAAAGGATTTACCAGAGACATAGTGGGAAGCAGAACAGGCAGATGTACTGAAATACACTGCTGAGGGGAGCAGCGGCTTGTCAGGAGAGGACTGCTGAGCCATGTAGGTCACTTCCCTGGCTGTGGATCAAATTCATGGTACAGTGGCTGTAGATAGCTTCATACTACTGCACTTTAACCCACTATGCCACCAGGGAGAGCCATGCTTCTGTTTTTTTATAGGTCAAATCTTTACTCACTATCTGTGGGTCATTTCATAGTATAGTTCAAGGAGAATATGGAAATTTATGCATGATTCAGATGATAATATAACTAACAGAAATCTAAAGGAATTAAAATGACTTCATCTAAAAGGAAAATGTGACCTAGAAAATAATGGTGTGTTTGTAACTGGGTATTTCATTTCCTTGCTTATTGAATGTGACTCCTACCCTTGAAAACTTCTAAAACACTAAGATCAAATGTTACAGTTTGAAGAAAATGCAGATTACACTAATAGGATATAGTATTACAATATAGGATGTGTAGGAAATTTTCAGTGACCATGATTTTTCATTGCAGGAGAATAATTAAATAAGTCATTTGATGTAGCAATGACTTTTATTTCACTTTCCATATAATTGCTCCTCAATGAAAACCCCTTATGATGTGTTTGTGCCCTAAAATCAATAAGAGATAGTGGTGAACTGATCAAAACTACTGTTCTACCACCAGCTCTATTGAATAAATTTGTCTATTTATTTTCATTACTCCCTCCACCTTTGAGATATTCAGTCATTGTCTATGAGAAAAGCCCATCTACACTCTGATGTTAGCTTTCAAACCTAGTACAATTACCAAGTAAATGAATGAGTTTGAAGGGAAAAATTTGAAAACGGTATTTATATAAATACCGTAATCACCTCCAGACACTTGTACCCAACTACTACGGTTTAGAAAGAAAGCTAGATATTTTCTATGCCAGAAACTTTCTCCCCTCACACCTCCCATGTTATGGTTTATACTTTCTGGCCTGTGATATCCTTCCAAGGAACAAAGAGATGGAAATGAGCAGGAGGAAGTCATAGATAAGCAGGTTTGTCTTTACAAAGATGGTGTGTACTGTGCAACCAACCACCTCATGCTGGGCAAGTTCCTTGTTGATTCAGGCAGATGGGGGAAAAAGTCTTGGAGTCTTGGGTATATCTGACATTCCTTAAATGCTGAAGAAGAGGACCCAATACACAGACAGGTAGAGAGACAGAAAGACTGAATGATCCAATTTCAGCTATGTCTCCTAGTCACCTTTTTATTGTTATATATCCATAGTCCCATAGCTGATACACTGTTGCACATGCACAGTTATCAGCCACCTCTTGCTTTCTGGATGCCCCAAAGGTGGAAAACATAAGCAATATATTTCAGGGTTAAAGATTGTCCTTTGAAAGGAAAAAATGAGCCTGAGTTAACCTATTTCCTTACAGCACAGATGTTGTATCTGTCATGTATAATCTACCATCTGGTGAAAATTAGCATTCACTGCTGCAAGAGAGGCTAGAGGAAGCAGTTTCTAATTGAGAGGGCCTGGATACAGCTAAAGTTTTGTGCCTTCTCTAGGTAGATCTAAAAGAATAACCATGGGTCCAAATGGCTTCAAGAACCTTCACCACGTTACCTATAACATCTTGTATTCTACTATTTGTCAGGACAAATCTATTACTGCAAAAGATTTGGCTTCTTTGTTGGTGTATTGTGTGTGCATGTGAGTGTATGTGTCTGTGTAGCTTATTTTTAACTATCTTTCTGGAAAGCCTTTGTTTCCCCTTTTATATCTCTTTTGTCTCTAAAGATTGCCTCTCAATCCTCCTTTATATAAATTTAATTTGGAAGGGGTTTTAGATTCCTGTAAGATATAATCACTATAATTATCTATGCCTCACACACACACAAAAAGTTAGAACTCAGGAGAAATGATGTGGTACCCAGTCACATAACTGGGGGTGTTTGGACGGCATTAAAGGCAAAGAGCAATTATTTCCCACTATTTCTTTATCCCTAATGTTAAACATATTTCCCACCCCATGGATTGGAAATTCAATAGACATTTGGAGTGTATGAAATATTCTGATATTAGAGTCAGTACATTTCCCAAAGGTGCTAACTAATCTCTTTTTTTAAAATATAGATCTCTTTTCTGTATGACCAGTGTATTAATCATGCAACCTGTGCTGTTAGTATAGTTAACATTGAATATGTATTACATACTAAGTTGTAAATTCTTTCTAATAAGCTCTTGGCACAATTGGTACTTAACAAAGATCATAATTGAATGAGTTTAAAAAGGTAAATAACGGAACTTAATATGTAAAGTATGAAGGGATTTAGAGGGGGAAAAATTATTTGTTTGATTGTGTCCTGAAGTACACAGTTCTCAGACATCTCCAAGACTATGAAACCAAATTTATGTGAATTATTTTCTTCTTTGAAATATATTTTTTAAATGTTGGCATGGTATAAGCCAGATTTCTTGGAACAAGCTGTCTCCTCACAACAGATATGATTTTGCAATGATTTTGTTTGTTCAAATGTTCCTACCTCCACTGTAATCTCTATGATGGCAGCTGCCAATAAAGAGTACTTATTTGTTCTATTATTCAGTAATAACACAAAACAGAAAGCCTCTTTATAGTTAATAGTCCCGGTGACTTTTCAAATTCAAAACCATCTATTGAACTCTAGGTATTACAGTGATTTCTCTGATATCCACTGGATATCACCCAACTACCCAAACTACCATTTTGAAATCACAATTATCACAGAGTTATGGAATAGTGAGAGTCTTTGTAGTCAGACAAGCATTCAAATTCTAGCTCTACATACTGTATATCTTACTGGGTTTTTTTTTTTTTCTGTAAATCAGGGATGAGAATTTAAGTATGCTTGGTGAATTAAATGACGATAAGGAAAACATTTAAAAACGATGTGGATATACATAAGTATTACTTCTAATTCTTATGTAGTGTTGTGTGACTTCTTTATTTATAATCCTCACCACTTCCTCAAACTCTGGAACCAAAGACTCCATTGTTTACTCAATTTATACTCTACATAAATACTTATAACAAATTTAGCATTTTCAAAATAGGTCTCCATTCATGTTCCTAAGTACAAGCTTCCATTTTATTAATAGCAAACTATCCTCTCTCCAACTACAGATACTAAAGTAGAAAAAATCTAAACTATTGCTTTAGTACATGATTTCCTCTTCCTATTCACTTTTAACCCAAGACTGATCACATCTTTAGCCAATGTAAATTCCAACTATGCTCTTTTCCAGCATCCTGTACCTTTAGCTAGGCCTTCCATTTTTGCTGTCCATTCATCACATGTCAGCTAGAGTAAGTTTCTTAAAAAGAAAGTCAGAAAGTCAAATTATCTCTTCTTTTAAAATCATCTGTCTTATGGAAATTCAGTTTCCAAAACTATGAACACTTCAGTCATGAGCACCTTTCTTGGCAAATAAGAGTTTCCTGATGAAGGAATTCTAATCTTTAGTGATTTTATTTGTGAGATAAAGAAAGTTAGCAGTCTGAATGGAAATCTACTGGAAAAACATTATGGTTTGGGTTCACTTTAACAGTGACCTGTTTAATGTGTGGTGACCTGAATTAATCCCAAGTATTATGAATACACCAAAGTTATTTCTTTAGCTACTCAATTGATAAAGTACTTAGTTTTTGCACATTCAA